TAGCACTGAATTTGTACTCGACCTGTTTTTGCTTAAGCATCATATTTACTACTCTATAAAAATAAATTAGTAAAATGACTACACTGTTCAAAATTTCATGACCATTTTAACACCAAATTATAACACCATACATGGTCTATATCGATACAAACCAAAATGGTGTTAAATATGGTTCGTTGGCCGGTGTAAATTCAAATACTAAAATGGTGTTAATTTAACTTTCACACAGCATTAAAATAAATTTTACCTGGTGTAAATTGAACTCCTTTTCAGTGTTAAATATTATGTGTTTGTGGTCAAATTAAATCATACTACACAGAAAAAAGTAAAAAAAAGGAAACAGGAAGTTCCTTTACGCATTACTAGTATATTACCAGTGGTATTATTCCAGAAAATGGAACCTTCAACTCCCTAGAGATAATGTTTTTAGTGCGTTCCACTAACTTAAAATACTTCAAGTATTGACAGCTGTTTCCACCTATTTAAGGTCTCTTTAGTATCGAACAACTTGTAGTGTCACACCAAAGCAAAGGACCACCTGAGTTTATATATTCTTCATGTAAGTCGCGAGATTTAAGAATATCACGTGATCCACACCGCCTTTGCCGCGATCGGTACACATTTTCAACCATAATTCATGGTGTTATATTAACACCACTTGGTGTTGGATTTTGACACCATTTTAAGATTACTTTTTACACCACAGATATTTTAAACAGTGTAATTACTACAGTTATTAGTTCATTTATACCATGGGTAACCATGGATACCATGGTATACCCAATATTTAATGTCCAATTCTTTTGTAAAATTGTCCCATGCATACGAAAATACCGTCAAAAATTTTGAAAATAGAGCAGTTTATGAGATATAATCAATTCCATATTATTTTGAAGATTGACTATATCTCAAAAACTGTTCTACTTTTATAACTTTTTCGGACATTTACGGATTCAGGGGACAATTTTACATAGGAATTGGCTATTAAATGCTGGGGATACCATGGTATAATTGAAAAAGCAGTCACTAATAACTGTAGTAATTAGTCATTTTTGATTTATTCATTTGTAGAGAGTATAACTCAAAAGTTATTAAGGGTGGCTAGTTTTTAATTAAAAGCTAGCCCTGTATATATGTCACAGTCAAAGTATACATTTCATTAGATGTATACAAAAACTGGCTAGTGTATACATTTCCGTGAAAAAATAGTTAGTGTACTTTAAAAGTACTACTTTTACTAGTTAATGCGTTAATCTACTGTTGGTTGGTTTTGTGTGATGGATTGGTTTGGTTAGTTTTGTGGGTTGGTTTAGTTAGTTTGGTTACCTACACATAGGTACTACAAAAATTTATTTATGTTTTTATTTTTTTGGTCTAATTTAAAAAAATTATCTAATGAATAAATAATTAAAACCATTTATATCAAATTTTATTAGATTTAGTGGCAAAGAGAAAAAAAATTCTTCTTATGATTTTTCCTGATGGGTTTTAAATACCTAAAACAATCTTTAACAGTTTAACAGAAAATAATTTTTCTTTAAAAAAAATCAAAACATTAATTTGCAAAAAATATATCCTTAATGATTTTTCCTACTACTTTTCAAATCATTTTCGTATGAGAAGTTTTTGGAGGAAAAAATAATCAGATATACTTTTGTTGCTTCTCCTTGTCAGTCACTACGGGGATAAATTTAATAGAAAATAGAACAATGATTAAATTTAACGTGTAACAAAAATAAAGCAAGTAGTGTTTACTAATATAATTTTATTAATGGTAGATTGCACATTTATATACATTAATATTAAACAACAGTTCAGATAAAATATATAAAAACAACTAGTTATATCTATAAATATGAGGTACGGTTCAAAATTGTTTACAACGAAGTTTGTGGCAATAACGAGATCCTTAGAGACTGGCTGCCACTTAAGTACAAAGAGACACGCCGGTGCCATCATAATTTTTCCTTTGTATCTCACTCGATGTAATAATATAACAAGCCCCCCAATTAATTATATAACTGGCGCACAGGTGGGTAGATGGAAATACAATTTATCAAACATAATTTTTGTTTTTTTTTAATTATTTTTGTAGGAAAATAATAATGATTTCAAACAAAAACGTATGTTATTTTTAGCATTATTTCTTATAAATTATAATAATATTTAATTTTTATTGCGGAAAGTGGTAATTTTCCGCACGCTTGTAAAAAAATATTTGTTTACAAATGGAAACTGATAAAAAAATTGCGAGATTCCTTGTTTGTAAAAAAATATTGTACCCGCTATGCGCGAAAAGTGTGTTTTCGGCAGTCGCGTGCAGAAAAGTAGCAATTTGCGCACTATTTAGGTAAATAACTATAACAGAAAAAAATGAGCATTATTAAAAAAATTAACGTTGGAATCGATCAATGTAGAACTTGGCAGATCGAAAATTGTAGGTCACTTAAATTTTACCTATACCATGTATTTTCCAATTATGAGCCTTATTTAATATGTCATGTTATTTTAAAATATCGATTTTTTAAAACTTCTTACAAAACTAATAATGTAAAAAGATAAAATAGTTTTAGTAAGTTTTAATGTTGAACTGGTCTTTAATCGTATTATGAAAATTCTAACCCTGGCGCATTCGCCATTATTGGCAAGAATTTATTAATTTAATTTTTTTTGTAATGACCCTCAAACTTTAGTATGGCAGGCCGTTTTAACATTTATTAAATAATTTTTTAATTTAAAATTTTATTGGTTTAAAATTTAACTAAAACTTGTAGGTTTACATTTATAAATTTAAAATATTTTTAACTATCATTTACTAACCAACAGTTTACTTATGTATACATAAGTATATATATATATTAGGGTGTGCCAAAAAAACTCGATATTTTTTTTTTCTTGCTCTCCACCCAAAATATCGTAGAATATGTCCGAACAAATATTCTGTTAAAAGCGGAGCTCATAATTTCAATTTTAAGAGGTCCCTCATCGAATCTTAAGTTTTGCCGCTTAAATAACACAGAAAACTGACTTTTTTACCTTATTTATTCTTGCAACCTAGGAAGATTTTTTTTTTTCGTAAAATCCATGACTAATTCTTACAAAGCATTAAATTTGGACAAAAAAATCTTATTAAGCCGAATTTCTATTTTCATTATTTAATTTTTTACATAGCTTTAAATTTAAAGATAATAATACAAAAATGATGACTTTATACGCCTGTAACTTTTAGAATATTGACGATATAAAAAAATTCGCCTAAAACTTTTTTGTGGTCTATCAGACAAGCTAAAAAATTACCATTTGACTTTTTCGTCTAACTTCAATAGTTTAGCTGAAAAAGGCAAAAAACGTAAAATTTTAAATTTAAAGCTCTGTAAAAAATTAAATAATGAAAATAGAAATTCGGCGTAATAAGATTTTTTCGTCCAAGTTTAATGCTTTGTAAGATTTGGTCATGGATTTTATGAAAAAAAAATGTCTTCCTAGGTTGCAAGAATAAATAAGGTAAAAAGGTCAGTTTTCTGTGCTATTTAAGCGGCAAAACTTCAGATTCGATGAGGAACCTCTTAAAATTGAAATTATGAGCTCCGCTTTTAAGAGAATATTTGTTCGGACATATTCTACGATATTTTGGGTGGAAAGCAAGAAAAAATCTATTTCGAGTTTTTTTGGCACACCCTAATATATATAATATATATATATAATATAATATTATAATATATTAAACAATAAATATATATAATATATTAAACAATATTACGGCCATTTCAAGCGGAAGGACGGGACAAATCACAAAACTGTTTTTATAAAAAAATTGTAGCTAATTTAATATATATTATTTTTGCATCAAAATTGTCAAATATATTCTTCTATTATTATGGTATACATTAAATAAAAAAATCGCAAGAAATATTTTATGAAAGTAGAGATACTTTTAATAATTGACAGGGATGGACGGGACAAGATAAATCTTTTTTTTGTCCCGTCCACACCTTTCAATTATTAAAATTATATCTATAGATATAAAGTATACTTTCATAAAATATTTCTTGAGTTTTTTTTTATTTAATGTATAACCTAATAAAAGAAGAATATTTTTGACAATTTTGATGCCAAAATATTATATAATAAATAATCTACAATTTTTTTTATAATTTTTGTAATTCGTGCGTTTCGCGCGCTTGAAATGGCCGATTATTTTTAATCAATTTTTGAAAAAAGCTCTAACCAACATTTTTTAATAAAAATAATTTTTTAATTATAATTGAGAATTTAGAATTTTGTAAATATTTCATAAAATTATTTAGATTAAATTGGTAAAGTTAAATTTTTTAGTATTTAAAAATAGTGTAGAAACATTTAAAATAAAAACACATATAAAATATTTTCTATCAAAAACAATTTTTTAAGCATAAAATGCAAAGGTAAAAGTAATGTTTAAAATTATTGGTTTTAAAAAATTGTAGTTTTAATATTTTATTTTACAAACTTATTGGTTTAAATTTGTAAAGAGTCATTTAAATGATGGTCGATAAATTTTTAATACAAAAACTCTCACATTACATTTAATTGTTAGTATAACGTTTTAAAGTGGAAATTTTTGTATTAAAAATCTATGGACTATCATTTAAATGACTCTTTACAAATTTAAATTGATGCTTTAGCTGACTGAATATATGCTTATATGCTTCGCGCTTTGTACGTTTTACCGACCATGGATTACGCTTAAAATTGACCACTCTTGAAATAGACAGCGTATGCCTTCAGCTAAAGCTACGTTTACACTTTGAAATTGTTATCGACATATTTGAAATAATTATCGACTTACATTTACATTTAAAGTTATAAATTTTATGTTAAAAATATAACAATTTACAATTGTTACAAATAAAAAGTTTTGGTTTAAATTTGTAAAAAATCACTTTAATGATTTTTAATCCAAAAATTACCTCCTACATTTAAATGTAATGTAAGATTTTTTGTTTTTGTTGTTATAAACTGATAATTTTGTAGAATAAAATATTAATTTTTTTTAAAAATCAATGTTTTAAGCTTAAAGTTTTACAGTTGTATTTTGTATTTAAAATATTTTTTAACTATCAATTGTTTTGAGTTTAAAACAATGTAACTTTAAATTTCTTTACACTATTATCTAATAAATGCTAAAACAACGTGCCATACTTTACTATGGTCAGATTGACTTTTTAAATTTAAAATCAAATAATTTTAATGAAAAACTTAAATAATTGTTTTTTGGTCGTGTCAAAATGATTCCGGATCGCCATTTTTGCAGCTGTAGTAAACGAGTAATAATTAAATAATTACTTAATGTAACCGTCGTAACCAAAGGCCATAACTCGTCTAATAATATTATGACTTACTCTAAATAATTGAATGGTCTTTAGATTGTAGTAGGTAATAATAATAAGTATTGAACCGCACCTCTGACATCGCATGCACCTTTCACGTAATGAATGGTGCCCCTAAATATCCAAGAGGGGAGTGGAGTATTTCTGTTTTCATTGTTTTGTTGTGGTTAAAATGGACGTGTGCACGATCCGGTTATAGCGGACACGGTGCAGGTCTGTCGGGACGGAGACGCGGGGTTGGACAGGCCGCTTTCCCTGATGGGGGAGAGCGCGGGCGTTTTGGTGCGGTGCACCTGGCTACGGCGACGCCGACGATACGAAGGACGCCGGGAGCCGCATCTGAAATAATAAAAAACATTTATTCATGCTCGAATCAGAAACTTTTTTTTCTAACAAGCAGGGCACCCAGGGGGATTACCTAATTCGAATTCGTTAAATCCAATGGTACTAAAGTCTATTCAAATCCAAGCTGGACTATTCTCCGAATCGACCAATAAGAACTCACAATCCGAGTCACACCATCAGAATCGACCAATAAGAACGAGTTATCATGCGTCTGGGCGTTTTTGTTTAGTCCAGCTTGGATTTAAATACACTTTAGTCGCTTTTTTAGGTTAGATCTTGATTTCGAGATATTTTAGATTGAAATTTTAGATCCAAGCATCGCAAAAAAACATTATTTTTCTCATTTTAAAATCATTTACTGATTATAAATTGATAAAAATCGATGAAATAAATGTATAGACAGATACAAATTGAAAAGAAACTGTTGAAAAAAAATAATTTGGTTGATTTCAAAGTGTTTTTTATTATTTTTTCAGAATTTTTCATAAATACAGTATTAAACGTACCTACTAAAATGTTTGGAATACGGCCCTGATTGCCAAGTCGCCTTTCTTATGTTTTTTATCAATGATAACTTTGTAATGGGACGATATATGGGGCAGTTAATTTTTAACATTTCTTAATTTATTATTTTAATACTCTACGAAATATTAGACTAGTTCTAAATATTTACCTTAAAATTGTATAAACTGTTTATTAGTAACTTAATATTTATACGCATTTTATTCAGAGTATGTAATTTATTAGGGCAATATTTAACCTAGACATTTAAGAGTGTCAACACGTGATACAAATAGGGTATAGTCCGTTTGACTTAGAATTATATTTGTAAATAACTTATAGAGCACTAATTGTAGACCTACGTGTGGATGCCTAGGGAGACTTACCAAAACCTCACGTATGTCTGAGCCATATCGGTACAAAGAGGAGGTTCTTACGTTCCAAATGAACTATATCGATAGGCCTGTTTGGCTTTGATAAAATAAACATAAAAAGAGCGTGTTAAAAACTTAGAGAATACAGTAAATTTTTGACAGTTACGTTTTACTATTTGAAGGGACGAGTTGAATTCTTTAATTTTGTAAGGGAGTGAATTTAACCAATAATACATTGATTTTATATAAATTCAGTTTTTGTGAAAGTGTTGTTTATTTAAATAGGTATGTTTTTTTATATTTAGTTATTATAACCTGAGGTCACAAATATTATAATGAGTGGTTAATTATTTAATATTTAATTTAAACTATATTTTATTATTCTTATTTTAACTTGTTCTTTGTGAGAGAAGGAATAAGCTGAATTGTTTTATCTTAATGGTTGTTGTTGGACACACCAAATTACAAATTTATTATAATCATTATTTTATGTTTATAATTATTATATTTATATTACATTTACTTCAACATATTATATTGTAATGTAATTTTACATTTTACTACATATTTATATTTAACATTTATATACTTTATTTTGTACAGTTTAACTTATTTTATTTATTTGATAAATTGATATTCATTATTTAATATGTTGAGGCTTTGTTGCAATTTCGCCACACCAAACACTTGTTAGAATTTTCTTTTATTGTTTAACGGTGTTGGTAACGGTCGAAGGGGTCGAGCCCGGAGACTTATAATTATCAATTCACCCATCTTGACAATGAATGCTAGGTAGGGCCCATGATGTGAGTTTTTATGACATTGTCTTATTTTATTATTATTGATAATCATTTTATTTTACTATATTTGATTTGCACTGACATAATTTTATTACTTTATCATACCTGATTGTATCTATGACTGTACATCAATTTTATTGCATAACTCTTGTCCACCACTATACCCCTTGTTATTTATATATTTTTTCTACTACCTTACTAGAAAACTTATTTTTCCACCCCCGAGAGAGGGAGGAAAATGCCTCTTTTCCTCCCCGGGAGGAAAAAAAATTTCCTCCCTCTTTTTTTTTAAATTTTATATTGGCAAGAGTTTTTGTACCTTGTCTAGCTATATTTGATTTTGTAGGAAAAAGATTTACTCCGCACTTGTCCAACCATTCTTTTAACAAACTATATTCATATTCACTATTTTAGATTTTTAAGGAAGGAAATTAATTGCAACTATTAAATTTATGATAAACATTATGACAGCTTATAAAAACTGTTATGTTGGTATTACCAAAAATACCATAGCAACAAAGCGTTGTCAACATAACGTCGGCGACGCAAAACCTACTTAATATTTTGTCATCATTTTATAGCCCCATACCGGGTAAGTAAAAGGAACCGGAACGCTTAAAATGTCTTAAAACCGTTAAAAGGTAATAGAAAAAACTATATACATACCTCAGGAGGAAAATGCATTTGCTCCCTTGAATATTTAATGCCCTTCGCTTCGCGTCGGGCATCAAACTATTCGCGGGAGGAAATGCAATATTTTCCTCCCATGGTATGTAAATAGCTATTATTTACCACTACCATTTATTACTGTTGTTTGTGACCTAAGTTATATTATACTTTATGTTTCACATTGTTGTTGTTTGTTGCTGTACATTGATAATTATTTCAATGTGTATTTGTTTTTCTACACCGTCCGAGCCTACCATTTATGTAGGTGAATAATCTTATAAGATGCTATAGCAATATGATAGTATAATTGATTATATTCATATTGATTACTTTGATTTTGTTGTATTATTTATATTGTTGAGATGTGCGACATATATGCATGTCTGTATTCTATATGTGGGTTTTTAAGGTTTTTTAAGGTTTTAACTTAACTTAAATCAATGATACTTTTCAAATACAAATGTTTTTATTTATATTATTAATGTACAGTAGCAATAATATTAACTCTTGTATTAATTGTTTTTATCAATAAACTTATTTTAATTTAATACTTTTTTTTGCTTTTTAAATATCCTTTCAATTGCTCAAGTACTTACGTATCCAGAACCGTATTCACAACAAAAAGGGGTCCTAAATTAATTTCTTTAAACTAGACGATCACGTGTTTTGGCCAAAGGTAGTTTTTTGTGGTTTTAATATTCGTTTTTAATTATTAATGTGTTCCCCCCCCTATGCCCCGTTCGTTACAACTTCTACCTCCAAGAATTATAATGCAAAAAGTAAAATTGTTTATACACACTGTTTATATAAACAACGATCAGTGGCAACGGAGCTCACTTTAACTCTTAAACAATGAGAGATACCGTCAACACCCGTCACAGGATTCTTGATACAAAATAATATTTAAAATTTTAGAAATTGTTAAATATCTCTAAAATTATTAAATTTAGGTATAGGGAATAGTATAACATCAATCGAAAGGTTTTTTAATTTACTACTTGATTATGTAAAAAAGTTATTAACCAAGTTAGCCTAATTTGCCCTGGGTTTTCTAAGGTGATTTGTTAAAAAATGGTAAAGAATTGACATGGAATCTTTTAAACAATGTTTTAAGGTTCCAAAAATTCCAACCTCGCAAACCTAATAAAAAAAGTTATAGGCTATTTTTTATTGACGCGCATTTGTCAAATTTAAGGTATACGACATAGTATAGTAATTATAATCAGAATTTTATGTAGAATTTAAAAATGTAAAAATATATGGGGCGTTTTATTTAAAATAACAAAGTTGATGTCTCTTCCGGATAAACCGGAAGTAGCATTTTGTTTAAAATATTTTAGAAAAATATACTTAAATCGATATCTTTTTTCGTTCTCCAGAAACTTCTAATGGACCACGTATGTTAAACACCTTGTATATATATATATTTTCATAAATTTAATTTCAATAAATGATCTAATGGAAAAATAATGTTTTTTGTGGTTCTTGGGTCTACAATTTATATATAAAATATCTCGAAAACAAGAGCTAACCTAAAATAACGATTAACACCATTAGATTCAGCGTACTCAAATTAGGTAATCCCCCTTGGTGCCCCGCTTGTTACATTTACTAGCACATTGTTTTTATTCGGATTGAGTTACAAAGAGGGAATAATAAACAGGGTCCAGGTCGAGAAATGCTTTCTAAGGGAGCTACAGTTGTGATTTCATTATGAATTTTTATGAAATGCAAGGTAATTTTCAAATCGATTTTAAACGAAAATGGTAAATATTATTTAAGTTCAACAAAAGGACCTTTTTTGTGAGTAAACCTCCAAAATAAAATAGTCTTACATCAAATCCTGGGAAAGGACACGTACAAAAAAGTTAGGGTAGTTTGACCACTCCTTATCATATATGATTGATTCTTTACTTTTTATTGTGTAGAACTGCAGTTAAAGTACACTTGTAATAGGTAAAAAGCTAATTACAAAAGGTCGTTTGTCATCAATGCGATATAATGACGTCAGCATTGCCAACTTTGAATTGTAAATTTTCTTTTTTAAGGCGAAATTCTGATGTGTTATAAAAAATATTACTCATTTGAGTATTGTTTACAAAGAACTGAAACAATTTCCCTGTTTTAAAACGTTTTTTTGCGAAATTATGAAAATCAAACCATTTACTTAGTAATTTTTATTTGTGCCAGTTGCTAATAGCTTAAGACTGGAACGCACCATTTAGTTTAAGGCTGGCACGCATCGCTCAATATTATTGATGGGTTAACGTCATTTTGAAGTTTTTTTAAATTTTTACATTTTTTCTGTAAGCATCGTTTTGCAGATTTTTAAATATAATGTCATACATTGTGTTTATCATATTCTACCACTGGATCGTGCAAACAATGTTACAAGGCCTATTTGCAAGTCAACAGTTATTAGATTGCGAATACATTTGGGGAAATAATCAGACTTTAAGTCTGACCTGGTTCGCTGTGACGACAAAGACTACTGGTAATTTAGTTTTTTGTGTTAGGTACTTGTAATTAGTATTTTTTTGTTTTATACATATCGTCACCTGAGAATTATAGTGTTCTAGCTGCATTTTCTTTTTTTTTATTCAGGTTATCTATCTATATATAATTGGGGTAGAAATTGTAAAGTTTAAGGCTTAAACTGTACAATTTCTACCCCAATTATAATTATAATTATATATAGATAGAACAATATGCATCTTTAATACTTAAAATAAGACTAACCTGAATAAAAAAAAGAAAATGCAGATAGAACACTATAATTCTCAGGTGACGATATGTAATAAAAATGTAATGAACTCCATTTGTTTTCTCTCTTAACACATTTAATCAAAATTTGCCCGTAACAAACTTCGTATTAGTTAGTGTAGAAGATTATGACAATGATATTATAATTCCAATTTATTAAACAGTCAACAATACACTAGCGTTAGATTGTGCCTGGGCACGTATGAATAGACCTTAACGCTGAGGTCATACGCCATATATCAAAAGTCATATAAAGAAAAATTTGATAAACGTGGAATTAATCGCCTTGAAAATTTTTATTCTAGCTAGAAACAAAACTTTTTCTTTGTGATTTTTTTGTTAATAAATTAATATAACGATTTGGAATTATCTTACCTTTGCTGTTGTTGTTGAAGCATGGTAAGGGCGCTGGCTAACTCCGTTTCACTAATAAGCCTCCTCCTTGGAGGGATAGGTAGGGCGGGTAGATTATTCATCCTCCTAGACACTTCGGGATAACAGGGAACTGGCACTATATTATTAACAGTTTGTATATCTGAATTGCTCGACGTATTAGTCGGGACAGGCACCACTTGGTTACTTTTCGCTACGTGATTTTGGGACTCACTGCTGCCGCTCCTTCTCCTGTTCTGTCCCAAATTACCTATAAAAAATAAGTACTAATATGTAAATTGCACTGTCTAGGAAATCATTTTTTTTCATTTTTCCCAATCAAATTTACATACACTATATCTTCGGGTTGCTTCAAGAATAAGATAACTCCATTTTTTAATTTTTGACTTAAGTACATTTTTTAACATAGTTATTTCTGCAGGGACAATTCAACTACGAGCATAACCGAATCGGTTAAACCGATCAATTCGAGCGCAATAAAAAAGGTATTTTTTGTAAATAGACCCAATGAAAATAAGTTACAAATTCAAATTACTAAAAACAGTGTTTTGGGAGTTATCTGGTTTTTGCAGTAACCATATTGTTCAAACGCATTTATATTTATTGGACTCCTTGTAACATTTTTGTAATGGACACGAATTTGCGATTTAACAATGTTGAACGAATCTCCCGACGATGAGTACCTGTTGATGAAAGTGGCTTTGATAATGGGGATTAGCGGTGCTATGATTTGGTCAATTTGAAAATAGAAAATATTCAAGACAAAGGGAAATATTGACACTAAAACCAAGAAATTGAGAAGTTTCACCATACTTGAAGAAGGATTTCTAATCAACCCGATCAATTCGTGTAAAAAAATACATGTCTTTGAGACCAAAGAATACTAGTTCTAGACGATTTTTTGTTTTTTTTTTACAAAAATGGGAGGTGTACCAGCCAGTGTGTAGGAATAAATACGTTGTCGAAGATACCTTCAAGAATTGCAATGTTTTTGAAATTGGATGGACCAGCGCTCTACACCGGTCACTGCCTGAGAAGGTCTTGGCCGACTCTTTTGGCCAATGCAGGGGCTAACATGACTACTTTGAAGCGTCACGGAGGATGGAAGTCCTCGACGGTAGCAGAAGGTTACCTAGAAGAATCGGTGCATAACAAAATAGAAATTGCAGAAAAAATACAAGGTTCTAATGCGTCGGCGTCTTCCAGCACTATCAGCAGCTGTACCGATATGGGAGCGTCTGTTTCCAATGAACCAACGAATTTTGCAATGACTTTAAATTCGAATAAACCGTTAGCGTTTTCCTTTAATTTTAATATCAATGTGAATTCTGCATAACTCACTATAGTGTGTTATTTGATAGTTTACTTGTCTAAAATGACATTAATAATGACAGTCATAACTGTCATGTGTTGGATAAAATTTGTAAAATAGTATTGTCATTGAGTAAAGAAGTCTTTACTCAATGGTATTGTCTTACCTAAGACTCTAAATAAAACTCTCAGCTTTGCACTGGACCAGTGTCCGTGTGTCCTGTGCGGACGGGATTCAAGAGCGGGCAGACTCTTGCTTTTGGCTTTGTGCTTGCAAAGGGACATGAGGCACCGCGGTTCGGAGGGACTGTGGGGATCGTCCGGGCTGTCCGGCACGGACACGCAGCAATTCCATCGTTTCTTCACTTTCTTCTGCTGCACCTTGATCTCCGGCGCGACGGAATTGTTGCTCATCACGCACATCTGGCAATCCTGCGGCGTGGATGGAGGCGTCGGCGTCGGTTCGGCCGTGCAGTTGCTGAACGTCTCCTCCAGGACGGTACAGGTGAGGAGCGTCGTCCGCGACCGCCCGTCGCAGCGCAAATTTAAAGGACGGTGTCTGGAAAAAAATGGAAATTTACTAAATATTATAAAAATTAAATATAAAAAAATATTAGAGTAATACTATATTATGCAACAATGGTCGATTATGAACGAGCATTTGTTTGACACACGAGCGAAGCAACCGTGTCAAAAAGTTCATAATCCACGGTGCTGTTCTGAGAGGTGATTTTTGGACTTTCTGTGAAACCTAATTTTTTTTATATTCTTGTTAATTAGGTCATAACTAAAATTTTAAGAGCAAAATAAAAAAAATTTGACGGTTAATTTTGTTTTAATTGGATGTTTATTAAAAATATGTATGCACACTTTCAATTCTCCAATTAAAACTTGCGATTTTATTTAAATATTATCATAACTTTTTAAATCAGATTAAAGATTAGTTAATTTCCTAAAAAAAGGTCTATACATTTTTTATATCTTTTACTGTTTTGTTGTAATACACGTTTAAAGTTTTAATTAAAGGTTAAATGTATAGTATACATTTATTAAACAATAATTCTAAGGGTGCCACATTTTATTTAGGGCCGATTTATTCATTTTTGATTTATTTGACGAATAATTTCTTTGGATACTAGATACTGTCAAGACATGAAAGTTATCGGCCCGATAAACTTTACTAAGATGAATAAACCGGTCCTTAGTTAAATTTCATGAATTTCTTCGTAACTTTTACTACAATTTTTCATTTTTGTTTATAAAAAACACTTTAAAAAACTATAGAATACGTATACTAAAAATGACAATTCAAACGTCAAATAAATTTTTAATAGATCTAAGTTTCATGGCAACCTTTAAGGATATATTAATTAAGGAAACATAAATGTATACGTCAAAGGTTAGATTAAAAGTTTGAACGTTTATTGCAACAAAACAGTAAAATATATAAAAAAAATTGTAAAACCTTTTTTTAGTTATGCAAATATTAAATATTTAAATTAAATCGCTAGTTTTAATTGGATAATTGAAAGAGTGCATAATATTTTTAATAAACAGCCAATTAAAACAATTCAAACCGTCAAATTTTTTTAATTTTGCTCTTAAAGTTTTAGTTATGATCTAATAAACAAGAATATAAAAAAAAATTTGGTTTCACAGAAAGTCCAAAAATCACCTCTCAGAACAGCACCGTGAATCCACCATTCCTCACGAGTTTCACATATTATTTTGTCCCACAATAAAATTAAACAATTAATAAAAATTTACACTAAATGAACGAATCAACACGGTGTGCCCGAACGAAGTTTAAGTCACATATAAATGCCGCCAAAAAATGATTTCAGTTTCTTGTTCGGGACCCTTTGGTGACTTAAAAATGATATTTACCAAAATCCTAGCTGCTCCTCTTTTCGAAGTTTTTTGAAAATTCATGATTTTTATAATGGAGTATATTGTTAAGGAGATTTGGAGAATACTTTTTATACTTTGCACATCATTTAATATGTACAGGGTTAGCCAAAAATCGCTTCTTTTAATAAAGCAAAAGCGCAAAGCATAACACGCAAAAAATATATACAACCACCAGGCTACAAAATGGGATTCTTATTAAGACTTTATAAGAAAAATTGATTTTGAATAAAATTAAATAAAATAACATTTTTTGGAGATAAATCTTTCTTGTGCATTATGCGTTTTACTATATAAAAAAGTTTTTTTGGCTAACCCTGATGTGCTCAGTATGAAAACAGTATTCTCCAAGTCTCGTTAACAATATACTCAAATATTATAAAAATCGGTGTACAAATGTGTACTCTGTCAAAGGTAAGATAAACAAAAATTTAAAAAAATAATAATTTTCAAAAAATTTTAAAAATAGGAGCAGCTAGGATTTTGGTAAATATTATTTTAAAGTTACCAAAGGGTCCCGAACAAGAAACTGCAATCACTAAAAATCGGTGTAGAAATGTAAACTCTGGCAAAGGTAAAATTTGCGATAAACAAATAATTAAAAAAAAAAGATTATTTAACAAATTTAAAAAAAAGCCGTTAGAATTTTGGTAAATATCGTTTTTAAATCTCCAAAGAGTGCCGATCAAAAAACTTTAACCAGTTTTTCGTTCAAAATTGAAAACTACTAAAAAGCCTAAATTAAACAACATTTTAAATATTCTCTAAGCGCTATTTTAATTAATTTTATTAAAAATCTATTTTTTATAAAAGGTTAATAAGAATGCCATTTTGTAACCTGATAAACGTAGAAATATCTAAAAAGAAATGGGGATAAATCTTTTTTGCATTATGCCAAAATCATGAATTTACGCTTTTGCTTTATTAAAAATAAGCGATTTTTGGCTCAACCTGTATATATTAAATGATGTGAACAGTATCTAAAAGTATTCTTTAAGTCCCCTCAATAATATACTTTAATTTTATAAAAATCGGTGTACAAATGTGTACTCTGTCAAAGGTAGACTTTGAAATAAACAAAAATTAAAAAAAAAATCATGAATTTTCAAAAAAATATAATATCATTTTTAAGTCACCAAAGGGTCCCGAACAAGAAACTGCAATCAGTTTTTGGCGGCATTTTTATGTGACTTAAACTTCGTTCAGGCACCTTAAACTAATTATTGAGACATGTGTTTTGGTTTTAAAAATTACTAAAAATGTAAAGAAAAAATTGTATTTAACATCTCATTTATATTTTACTGCATTTGGCGTGTTAATAATTAATTATTTATTAATTAATAATTACCAATAGCAACGGATAAAAAGTCCGTTACAATGGATGTAATAGTATATCTCTCCTGCCTAGCAATTTGTGGGGCTAGCCGTCAATAGTCCCTATGGAGACGGTAAAATTAAACTTTATTAAAGTGTGTTTTTTCGGTATAAAAAACTTTTTAACAGCGTATTTATACGTCGAACATAGAAATAGCCACGAATCAAATGTATTTAACTTTATTTTTTAAAAATATTTTTTGTATATCCTTCCAAATCTATTTTGTCGGTTAAATAGCTGATTGGTCAACGTAATTGTTTTGTATTTCAATAGTTCTATGGGTTGGGTTGTTTTTTTCAAACACCCTGTATAAATTTTAGTAAAGGTATCCAATTTCTGAATATGTTTTACGTTCGTCGACGCCTTAAGTATTAAATATCAGAGTGAAACATTTAGTTTATAGAAAATGATCTCACCTTTTTATAAAATATGTATTTTATAAGGGTTTAGTCCCCAAAACATTTAATTACAATAAAAAAATTGCGCCCTAATTTTTTCAGACTACGTCAGACAAACTGTAAACGACGGTTTTTGGTCCTCATTACACAATAAGCACGGAGAAAGCTTTTCCAACTGTACGAGACGTTAAAAGATGTTGTAAAACTAGGAAAAAGACTACAAATTCAAATTTTGGGCAAAATCAGGGGCGGACCGTTTACTTTGGGGGCCCAGGGCTAAAGATCTTTGAGGCCCTATCAATAACACTAGGTATATTTTTAACTTTTGAAATATTTCAGCTAAACGCTCGGAAACGTAAACATAATTTTTGGTCAGGTCTAAAAAAGTGTTTCCTATTGGCAATCCGATCCGAGGACAGAACATTTCAGTTACCTTTCACGAACACACACTTGTACTTTTTTTTATTTATTTAATTTATAAAATACAAAATTAAGGAAATTGAATTAACGTTACAATTAAGAAACTAAGAGAAGAATAAATATAAAATTAAACTTAAGAAATAAGGGGTTCTTATCTGGTCCTATGCTTTTTATATTAAAAAAATCACGAAAATAACACTTTAAATTTCCTAAATTATTTAAAAAAAACCCTCAGGGACACGTGTTCCGTTTGATCAATTAACCTCAAATTTTGCAAGAATTTTTTTTATTTGAAACCTATGTCGGGGTCCAGCCCAATTGACCAAGCACGTTTGTAATCTTCGTCCAAAAATTAAGTTTATTTGTCCGAGCGTCTAGCTGTGGTATTTTCACCTCCCTGCAGTGTAATTATAAGTACTATTATATGTAGTATATTTGTATAATACAAAACAACAAATTTTTACGTCAAAAAAAAATCAAGAAAAAAATAACTCTTATTATTAATAAAATAAATGAATAAAATAAATAAAATAAATAAGACATTCTAGCACTTATACAAGGTGTCCTGATAAGACCTGTAGTAGGTCCTGTACAATGCAAGACCACATATTGGTTTAAAATAATTCGAGTTAACCCAACTTAATAAAAATTGCTTTATTTAGATGCTAGCAGCCTTTAAATAAAATCTACATTTTTTTTCTATAAAATTTAATAGCCTCATGGACCTGTTAAAGTATTACCCATTAATATTATTGGTTGCTAAACGCGATTTAACATTTAAATGAATGAGATGAGATTTTTTTTATTTTAGAAATACCTACGTAGAAAATAATTAAAACTTTTATTGTAGAGAATTAAACGCTCCACAATACAGATTACTTATTATTTTCGTTAAAAAGTTATTTAAGACTTAATACAAATTTATAGCAAGTTTTAGTTACAAAATGTTGACATTAATCATACACTTTTTGTAAATCATTTTCTTAACAATATGTCATTATTTTTTTTACTGTTTTATTTATGATTTACTGGGTTAACCTATATAAGGGCGTTTCTCTGTAAACTGGGCAACTCATTGTCTCAAGCTAATATTGTTTAGAAAAATAACATCATAAATATTTCGTAGATAACTTCAAAAGATAATAACCTAATCTACCTATGCTCGACGTTCAAAATCCAATAAAATAAACTTTAATGTATCAAAATCGTTTTTATAGTCCTTAAAAACCAGTCCCCTGACGTGTCACCAAAGCAAAATGGTCACTTCAGACTAAATTAATTAAAGACAGTAACTATTGGAATCAACCTAATTGTTTAATTATTCGACCAATATTGTTTGCTTGTTACTGTGACTTATTTATTTTTTATAATTATTATTTTGTAATTCCAAAAAAGTCATCTAAACTTTGTCTCCGGATTTTATAAACAGTCCCCTGTATAGATTTTTCAGAAAATGCTCAATGTTTTCCAAAGTAATAGGAATATTTTTGGTTCATCTGCCGTATACTAATAAATATTTATTCCTCGAATAACATTTATTAAATACAACAAAAATATAACAAAAAAACTTGCCTAGACAATTTCTTACTTCAAGTTGCCCAGTTTACAGAGAAACGCCCATAAATACAAATATTTTTTGCAAAACAATGATATTTTCTTGAAATTAGTTGCTATTTTAATCAAAAATATTAACTTGTAAAATCAGTAACGGTAGTAACTTCTAATTATAAAATTACACAGTTTTTTGAAAAATATAATGATCTACCAAAGTCTTAGCAGAAATGTAAAAAAACTTGAAATTTACTATAAATTTCTTTTAAGCTTGAATAACTTTTGAACAAGTGGATTTACTAATCTATAAAAATAATATTTTTAAAATATGTTGTTTTCATTTAAGTCCATTAATCCGTTAAAAAGATGGATAATTCCAATTTTTTTTTCATGCTATTTAAATGAAAAATAGAAAATCGAGATGAGGGGCCTCTTAATAATAATAATAATAATAATAACTAAAATTTTAACAGGCTCAATATTTTATTCTATAGACGATTTTCAGTCTGATTTAAATATTTTTTTTATTTGCATCGCGTAGGGGGCCCTTGATCGGACGGGGCCCTGGGCTGCAGCCCATAATGCCCATGCCTAAATCCGCCCATGGGCAAAATGCATTCTGCAAGTCTGCTTCTCATTTGTAGTTTTAAGTATTCAATATTTGTTTAGGGATTTTTACAAAACAAATGTTATTTTTTTAATATATTGCAGTGGTTTTTGACTTAAAAAAAATTTGAAAATAGAAGCACAATAAATAAATAAAATGCTTTACTTACTGTCTAAGCGTTGAGTTTCTTAGGTTCTGTAACGCATCGTCTTCGTCTTGAGTGATCGACACGTGCGGCTGGACTTGGTTCTGGCGTTGCTGTCTGATATACTCGTACGTGGTCAGGCCCAGGAACGAGATGTAGATATGAAAGAAACACAGGTGCAAGAGCAGTCCTGCAGTGATGGCCGCTAGCAGTCCCAACGCTGCCACCACTGCCAGAAAGGCGGCATCGCCCGAAGGAAGGGACGACTGGTGGCCGGGATTTGAGGAAATGTTTTCCTGAAATTAGAGAAATACTCATAAGTGTACGTGTATAAGTTTTTATAGAATTAAAAGAAATATTGTGTTTCCGTACTCTCTAGGTAATATTATTTTAGAAAGAGTTACTTAAATAAAAGACTTGGGTGATTATTTTGATAGCAAAATAACATTTTCCTATCACATTGATTATATTGTAAATAGATCTTTAAAGTTGCTCGGATTTGTCAAACGTAGTATTTTAATAATGTTCAATGTTTAAAAAATGTGTATATGTCATTCGTGCGTAGTATCCTAGAGTATTGTTGTGTTGTTTGGTCACCTTATTATGAGAATAATAAGGTTAAACTCGAACGAGTACAAAATAAATTCTTGCGATTTTGCGCATTCAAGCTGAACATTGACTGTACTTATTCCTTAGACTTAGTTAGAAGTATTGTCAATTTGGATCGACTTGGTAAAAGAAGAAGTCAATTTGGCATTTTATTTTTATATAAACTTTTAAATAATTTTATTAATTGCCCAGATTTGTTAGAGCAAATAAACTTTAATGTTCCTTTAAAAATTACAAGGCAACAGCAATTATTTTATATAAAGACCCATAGGACTACGTATGGTAAATTTATGCCCTTAAGTAGAATCTGTTCCGAGGCAAATGATCTAAATTTAGATTTTTTCAATTGTTCTCTGACGGTCTTTAAAAATAAATTAAAAATATGTAATCTAACTTATAAGTAAGCAATACATGATTTATTGTAAATTGTAATTTGTATATGGCTATCCGTTAATAAAGTTATTATTATTATTATAAGCAGTGATGTAACCGATACATTTTTTTCAGTATCTAGGTACCGATACAGATACTCTCTGGTAGATGTATCTGGGTACAGATACCGATACATTTTCCCAAAAGTATCTGGGTACAGATACAGATACATTCAAAAAGTATCTAAGTTACTTCCAGATACTATGTTAAAAAAACTTAAAAATTAAATGACAAAAAAAATTTTTTTGGACCTTATAAACAAGCGTGTTAACTATAAAATAAAACTGTTTTGATAAAATTGACGAAATATCCATGAAAAACGGAAATAAATTTTATATTTACGCGCTATATGAAAGCTTACTACAAAATTTGTAGTACAAATTCAAAATTATCGTTAGGTCTCTGGGTTCGGTACAGTGTTGCCAGATGCTTTTTCCTGTAAATCCATAGAGGGTGGGAAAAAGCGTTAAGCCGGATTTATAGATTGCCTTCCTTCCTTCTTTCCTTCCTCCCGTAAAAGATGAACAATACGAAAACAGTAGTTCAGTTTATAGATTAGGGTACGGGAGTCTATACACAGCACTACGGTTTTCGTATTGTTCATCTCTTACGGGAGATATCAAAAATATCCAATGTAGGTATATATCCTGGATATCCATAGAGTATATCCATTGGATGTTCATTTTCCGTGTGGCCCACACGGTGTGGAGTTGCAATCAGGTTGGGTAAAATAAAATGTATCTTGTATCTAAGGATCTAGATAGGTACTTTCAAAAGGATCTAGATAGTAAAGTAGATCCTGATTTTCTTAAGTATCTCGATACGTATCTAGGTACATAAAATGTATCTAGATCCAGTATCTAGATACATGTATCTCGATACATTACATCACTGATTATAAGTTATTATTATTATTATTATAATTATGGAAAAAATTAAGCAGTTTGAAGTTTAAATTTTGGATAATTAAAAAATCAAATTATTCGGTGAACCATTTAAGAAAGGACAATAGATTCCTTTGCAAGAAAAGAGGACAATGGCTTTTAAGCAGATAAATCTTTTGTCCTATATATTATTTCAAGGGACTATTATTATGGACACTTTATTTAAACCTTCATAAATTTTAAAATGTCCATAAATGTCGCTTTTATTTTTGCACACAACACTTCTACAAATTGCTTTGTACTCTTGGCATGAAGTATGTATGTGTTAAATTATGTAAAGTGGAAGTGGAAGTCTAATAATGCAAGTACATATTTAACAGTCCTGAGTAACGTGCTATAAATAGTTTTGAATTTTCATTTCATATCCATAATAAATTTTATATTTCTAATTTTGGCTTTATCGATCAATCTCTTAGTGTATATATAGATATACAACCTTTTGTATAATAGTATAATTTGTATCAAGTTTGATAAACGCCATTTTATTCTAGTGTCTAGAAAAGTTTATAAACGAGTTCCATACCATACTTTTTTCTACGACAAATACTTTACCTATATGAATCGTCTAATTTCAAAAGCCTCCTTTGAAAAAGAATATTTTAAGTAAACGTCAAAAAAACATTCTAAACAGTAATGGGTAAAAAATAAATATATTTTGAAAAACTTGTTCAAATGGTAACTAAAAATATTTTTTTTACAAAATAAGTAACCAGATTTAAGTTTTAATGGGCATAGAGCGACATCTATTCAAAATTATTTCTATACTTTATAAAGTGGCCAAACCTTAAACATTTTGACGTAATTTTTAACATTACATTTCCCGTTATTATTTTAATTAAACCTAATAATTATTGATACTAAATATTGGATCCTTTTATTTTTTTACTACTTAAATTGCAAAAAATTATCACAAAGTATTAAAAATTCTTACACGGAAAATGTTAAAGGTGCAAAAAGTGAAAGTTATTGGAATTTCCGTTAGAATTTCTAACTTGGAAATCTACCGGCGTTAATATCTCAAACTTTTCTGTGTAAATCAAAATTTATTCCTTGAAAAAAGACTAAAAATCGATATAGAAGCAGTTTTTCACAGTATGGGCACCGTACGAAAATTTTAAACCCTTTATCAGTTAAACCTAGTTAACTGCACTACTACGGCGAAATTAAAAGGTCAAGAAACTACACTCACAGGCAAAATAATCGATCCATACAAATTTTCGATGGATTTCAATGGCAAATAACTTTTTTATTTGATTTAGGATTTAAACAAATATTAAAGAATATTGTAGGTAAATTAATGAAGAATCGTTCACATTTAAAAAATTACTAAAAAATAGACGTACGTTTATAATATACAGGTTTAAACAAAAATATGTTTTTTTACCATAAGTTTAAGACACTCTATACAGGGTGGTCCAGGATTAATCTGAAAAATTTTATGGATCGATAGAGCCTGAAAAAACAATAAAAACAAACCCAAAAACATTTTTTAAAAATACACACAAACACACTAATAGCCCTTCAAAGGCAAAAAAAACGTTTTTTTTTAAATAACTTCTGCTCAAATTTTTTGTACCTAGGTAAAATTTCTTACAAAAGGCCCAGCGGCGGATATTTTGTGGGGGTTTCCCCTTTTTACCCCCATATTTCGACACCACTGGATTTTATTGGAAAATCATCAGATTTCTTATTCAATTTAGAAGCAAAACTTGTGTGTTAAATTTTCATAAGATAATTGTTTTCGGAGATTTTAAAATTTCAAAAACACCGAGTACACGGAATTTTATCATATTTTATTTTAAATCGGTAACTTGGTAACAATTATATGCCACGTTATCAGTTTATAAAATAATATAAAAATAAACTAGCGTCCAGGAGTCATCGTGCAGTTGTTACTGATCCCGTCATATTTTTAGGTTGTTTTATTGTAACGTTGATTGAGGATTACAATCAACGTCTGTAATTAATAATTTAATTGTATTATAATACAAAATCAAACCAACCCAAAAACCACCCTATTGAAAGTGATTATTCCATAATTTCATTGGTAAATTTTTATTGGCCCAATACAATCGTTCATAAAAAAAATAATTTTTTATTACTAAAATAATAACAAAAGTTCCGTGTACACAGTGCTTTTGAAATTTTAAACTGAAATATCTCCGTTGATCTGATAAAAAATAAACATAAAAGTTTTGCTTTTAGATTGAAAAAGGATAAAAATAAATCTGATGATTTTCTAATAAAATCCAGTGGCGACGAAAATATGAGGGTAAAAAGGGGAAACCCCTCCCAAAATCTCCGCCACTGGGCCTTTTGTAGAAAATTTTCATTATATTATCAACGGAAGCTTAACCTACACAAAATTTGAGAGGAATCGGTTTAATAGTTTAAAAATTATTTTGAAGGACTATATCTCCGTTAGTATGCATTTTTGAAAAATGTTTTTGGGTTTGTTTTTATTGTTTTTTCAGGCTCTATCGATCATTAAAATTTTTCAGATTAATCCTGGACCACCCTGTAGAGTAGCAAAACCGTATATTGTTCTAAATTAAGTTTTAATTATCAAACCACATCTATTTTTAACAGTTTTATTTTTGGTTCACCTTGATTTTTTCTGTACGAGCCTATGGAGGATGACAGTGACAGTTTTGTTGAATCATCCCATACTTGCAAGTCCATGGACATGTCATATACGGCCTCAATAGCTATCAAATTGTTTTTTGTAAATTATTGTCCTAATTTTAAGGTGTCCTCTTACTTTTAAAAAGGTAGGTATATGTCTCCGACTGATGATGCCCTTTGTACTTTACTTCTTGTGACGTTTAAAACACTTGCCACGTAATACGTTGACCGTCCATACTGAATTAAATCAATGGCTCTGGCAACATCAGTCGGAGACATATCCATTTTTAAAAGTAAGAAGACTCCTCAGAGTTAAACATTAATTTGCAAAAAACAATTATATGACATGTCCAAGTATGGGATGATTCAACAAAACTGTCACTGTCATCCTTCATAGCCTATGAATGCATTCATGGTCCATGGACCATAGCAACCTTAGTTCTTTGTACAAAAAAAATATTGGAAATTGCAATGTTTTTTTAAAAAATCTATATTTTCCACAATAATAACCATATCGAGGTGAACCAAAAACAAGACTGTTAATAATAGATGTGGAATAATAATTAAAACTTAATTTGAATTAATGTGAAATAATAATTAAAACTTAATTTAAAACAATATACGGTTTAGCCACTCTACAGAGTGTCTTAAACTTATCATAAAAAACTTATTTTTGTTTAAACCTG